GATTCTGGTTTCTCAGCCTTGCCTTCAGGCTCAGGGACACTCTTGCTCCCTAGCAATGGGTCTCTTGGATACCTGGAGATGGTTTTTGGATATCCCTTCTTGAAAATGTTCTCAGGCTGGAGGCAGAGATGTGGGAAGGATCATAAAGGGCTCTGACTCTGTTCAGCTCTTACCCACCCTGATTAATTTTCCAGCTAATGACTCTCCAGACATGTTGATGTATGGAGCTCTGTCGGTGACAAAAAAATTGAACTTTTACTAATTAAGTAGAACATCTTCATAGGGTGAAAGGTTTTGCTAACGAAAGTAACTCACAAAGAATTATGTTGGCTGGAGACTGCTGCTGAGATCCAACAGGGAAGGGAGGGAGAGCAGTATAAACTATTCAATGCAGCTAGCAGGCCAGGATTTCAGTCCCAGGTTGTGTCTGCACAGAGACCACTCAGTGCCACATTTCCTGGGCTCCAGCCTTGTCTCAGAATCACCAGGCTCTGCATCCCTGACTGAATGATGGATGCTGTTCATTGGAGCAGCCTGGGCCCAGCACTGTGTGCAATTTTGGCAGGCTGTGTGAGGACACACAGGATGCCATGAGCTTCTCAGTGCTACAAGGATGTGATTCTTCTGTGTTCCCTTCCCATGGGTGTCACTGATACCACACACTGGGTGCAGGGCACAACTCCCTCACCTGGGCAGGAGAACAACCACACAAGTAGATCAGGATGGGTGAGAACGTGGCCTTCATGGCAGTGACACACTGAGGACTTCACATCTTATTTCTTTTCCTCAGCTACTTGTAAAGGCAGGAGGAAATTCAGGAAAAAACTGTTAGAAAGGAGCACAGTATTCACATTTTTTGAAGAGACTGTTTATGGTTATGTTGCCTGAGGGACCTGCAAAGACAGAATCACTGAGGCCGAGGTGTTAGCTTTTCCTCCTTGCACTCTCTTTCCCTTTCCAGTGGCCTTTTTCTATTCTAGGATTCAGTTTGTTGTGCTCAATTCTACCCCTTCTGTCTCCTGGGTAAATCAAGATTAACTCCATTCCAGTCATTGATGCAGCCAAAGACACAGATTCTCAGGACTGACCCATATTTCCTGTGTGCCCTGGACAGCCCTCCTGTGACTGTCCCTTCTTCTCTTCTCCTGTGAGGGAAACCAAGAGCAGCTCTGCTACAGGTATTAAATGAAATGACAAAATTACATTAATAAAAATGACATAGAAAGCGTGACACCTGTGTCAAGCCTGAGCTCTGCATTGTCTTCACAATCTGCTGAAGCTGCATGTGAAGGAAACATGGACCTGGGGAAAGATGGCAGGAATTATCTTCAGAGGCAGCAAATCATGACAACACTTCCTAGGAGAAAACTTCCATGGGATCTCTGATAACACCAGGAACAATCCAAGAGGCTGCTGTGACTGTAGCTGGGAGTATTTTCATAAAATTGCCCCTTTCCATGGCTGTAAGGCTGTGTAAATTTGATTTCTTCTACCCACAATCAAAATTCTTTGTTCCACAGACCTCCTGCACAACCAGGCTGAGAACTGCAGGCAGATTGCTGCTCTTTAGCCCAAAGGAGATTTTTACAAGGAGGGTGGGCAGGTCTTGGCACAGGATGCCCAGAGCAGCTGTGGCTGCCTCTGGATCCCTGGAAGTGCCCAAGGCCAGGCTGGATGGGGCTTGGAGCAGCCTGGGATGGTGGAAGATGTCTGGGACTGGATGACCTTTAAATGTCCCTTTCAACCATTTCCAGGGCTCTGTGGTTTCAGGACCCTTGTGTCACAGCACCGTGCATGCAGCACAGACAGACACAATGTTCCAGGAACAATTACATTTCCACTTTCAAAGGGATTTGGTCTCCATCACAGAAAACAGAACATTTGGCTGTGTTTCTTCTCTCCCAGACTCACTCTCCAGTGTCAAGCCCTCCATTTCTGGGGTGTGGAACCACTTCCCGACAGCCTGCTCTGTGCTCACACATCCCTGCACACGCTGCATTTGCTGTCACCTGAATTTCAAGGCTTTTCATTTTCATCTGCAGGTGACAGCACTGAGAGAGCCAAGCAATTATGGCCACAAAACTCCAATAACCCAACAGTTTGTGAAACAGCTGCTCAGCACCAGAAGTGAGCACAGATCTGCTGGAGCCTGTTCTGCAGGAATTCAGGGGACAGCCTGGCTGTGGATTAAAGAGCAGGACTGGAGCCCCTGCCTGCTTCACCTATCCCAGGGCACCTGTGCGTGAAGGTCAGGGAAATTTTCCTGATGAGGAGCTGGAACAAAAGCAGCAACATGAATATTATGAATATTAGAAATTTTGCATTCATCATCCCAGAATTCAGGCCTTTGAAATTTGGGATTTGCATTCACAGAGGCCATTCAAAGGAAAGGAAGACAACTCACGTGGAGGATGCTGGTGTGGAGACTGCTGAAGATTCCATCTCCAATATTCCATATTTTTTTTCTGTGTTACCTGGTTGTTATTGAAAAAATAACACATGGTGCTGACATATGTTAAATGGTGGTAAGAGAAGAAATGGAAAGGGAACAAAAAAAATAAGTGATACCCAAAATCATCTCAGCTGCAGGAGACAAAAAAACCCATTCACAGGTGTGAAACTTTTCTGCCCAGCCTTGGAAGCTGCAGCAGTGCCAGAGCAAGGGCTGTGCTACAGTGTGGGATGTAGGGAAAGCACAGGAAAGAGAGTCCTACAGCAGAGATGGATTTATTTGGGTTTTCCACCCCATTACATCAAGTGCCTTTTCCCTCTCTATCACTCCCTGAAAGAGTTTATAATATCTATTTTGCCTTCAGAAAATTAATCATCCCTTGGTAATTTTTAAGAATTGCATTCCCACTTAGATATGACTGTATTTTTGGTGGGCAAAAATAAAATATTTCACCCCCAAGCCCAGAGACCTCAGTTTCAAAAGATTTTTCTCTTCTCTTCTTCTCTTCTCTTCTCTTCTCTTCTCTTCTCTTCTCTTCTCTTTCCTCAGTTTTGTCACAAAACAAATGAGCACAGAAACTACAATGCCAAGCATTGTCTCTCAGACATTTCATAATAATAATGAAATGAATTCATTTGAGCTGCTCAGCTCTTTGATGTGTTTCAGGTGGTTTTCTTTCCTTTGTCTGGCTGGGAAATGGGGAAGATTCTGACAGGTGCTGGCCCAGGTACATGGGAATAGAAGAAGGAAGATTTCTTTGCGACCTAAATAAGATCCACATTGTGTATGACTCAGCACCTCATGTCAAAATTTGGCCCATATCAAGAAGAACACAATAGGCTGATCACAATGAGCAATAATCCAAAAATATGCTGGCAAGAGGTGTGTACTGTGGATTTCAGAGCAAGGCATGACAATTAGAGCTGTGCAAGACAGTCACAGAGACAAAAATAGATCCCATTCCAAGTGGAAGGTGCCTTTGAAATGTGGGATTTGCATTTTTTTTTTGTGTGCATGCTTTCAACTCAAAAATAGCGCCTTGGTTCAATAGAATGGGCAAAGTGTGAGGATAAACCCAAATATCATTTCTTTTAACAATAATAAAAATCTGGAAGAAACCCAGGAGTATCATTTGTGCAAGATTTAACACAAAGGATTGCACTTTGTTTTGTTTTCCTTTAACAAATCTGTTTCTAATTCTAAACTCTGCAAGAGAAATACTCCCATCCTTTCAGCAGTCAAACACATCTTAGATGAAGAGGATGCTCTGTGATTCAGGAACCCATATGTATATTCTTGATCTCCACTGACTTCTGGGGGAGTTAAATTCTCTCAATTTTTTAGAGGTAGTTAAGTACCTAGTGGCACTCTCAGATACACTTCAGAGCCTGGCAGCTGTACACATAATTCTTTGCATGTTTCTCTTTCTCTCTCTGCACCACAGGTGATGGGAATGGCAGGATTTCCTCAACTGCCATGAAAAAGACAGTGAAATCCTTAGAGAGTACACACAGGCTTTAAAGACAGGTATAACCAGCAACTCTGAAAGAGCTTTAAATAAATTAAATAAATTAAAACTTTAAAAATTCTCTGCTTTTCACTTGTGACAATCCAATCTTTTGGCTTTGTCCCACTGGCACTTATGCAGGGAGGGGAAAGAGGAGCTTAGGTAAAAAGGTGAATTGTCATCACTTTCTACATTTCCAACCTCATCAATGAACCACTTGGAGCTCAGGAAGTTCAGCTTTTCAATTTCCATTTCTGCTCAACCTTTGAGCAGTTCCGAATATCAGGAAGCTCGGGTGACCCAGCAGACCTCTCTTTGTAGCTCCATCTCTGATTTAATTGTCCATTCTGAGAAACCATGTCCCAGAGGATCTCAAATATTTCAATCACCAGACTCCCTAGGCCAAGGAGAAATGCTTAAATCCTAGAAATGTGATGGGAATTATGGACTATTTTTTAAAGCAATGGAAGATGCCCATTGATAGAGTGAAAGGTAGAACTGGAGTTAATCTGAGTTCACCTTGAATTGAGTTACCCAGAAAAAACCCAAAGATTAAACCACATTTACCTCTGAGCCGCCACAATTTTTCTCCCTCTTCCCTTCTCTCTTCCAGCTTGTCAGAATGGCAGAAAACCAAGATCAAGGAGAAACAAGCCACCACTACCAAACCTCACTTCAGCAAACACCAGCCCTGGAAGTTTGTTGCGCTGTCAGCAGGAAAAGCAATACCAAGCTTTGAAAAATTAATATGATGCTCACTTGCTGTCTAGTTCCTCCTCTGCTTGTCAATAATTCTGTTCATTCCACAAATATTAAACCTGTTTGCCAGAGCCCTTAATGTGACAAGAAGCTGATGTCTGAAAGAACGATTACTTTCAACTACACATCATATTTAATTTATTACATAACCTGGTGTTATTGCTTTTATTGATGAACTGTACGGTGTAAAATGATTATTTGTTAAAGATTTCTCTGTAGCAAAGGAAAATGGAAAAAAAAATAAAAAAGAAGAAGAAAAAGAGAAAAATCTTTACTGCTCTAGAAAGCTGCTTGTAAATGCTTTTCTGAAAAGATTCAGGACTGGGAGTTACTGTTATTACCTGATTTTTGGCTCTTTGCACTGCAGAGCAGATCCACCTTCCTCCATGGCTTAATTCAATCCCTCTCTGACACAGGGACAAGCAGCAGAGGAGCAGAGTGAAGCTTTTCCTGATGGCATGATGTATGCTGAACTCTTCCCTGCTCTGTGCCATTAAACCCAGGTACTTTGTCTGGGCAGGAAAATCTCAGCCTCAGCTTGAGCTGAGTTTTCTGCTTTAGTTTCCTGTAATGTGATAAGAGCTGATTGTTCTCTGTCACTGACACCAGGGACTGCCTTGGCCCAGCTCTGACACAAATGTTCTTCTGATGCTGCACATGGGCACAATGAGAGATGAGATCCCTGCCTTGAAGAATTGACCCCGATTTGGGAAGGCAGGGAATAACGGAGTTTGCTTGGTGCATATGAGGAGCCGAGGAGCTCATTGGAATTAAGGCTCATATGGCAACTTAATTTCAATAAAGAGATTATTTCCTTGGCTTCCAAGCTGTCCTGTGGAGTGGTTGGTATTTTTATGGATGCTAAAGGGAGCAGCTGCCTTGGGTGACTACTGTGGATGCTGATGGTTGAATCACTGGATCATCCCCGCTGACTATTTGTTATTTTAGGGTTCCAGTTCAGAGGCAAAAACAACAATGTGAGAAATGTCTCATTTGGGCAAGTCAACACTGAGAGGTTGTGGTCCTTCTCCAACACTTCAGCTCCTAAAGACAGGACACTGAATAACCTTCTAGAACTTCCACTGAACCTCTCTGGATCTTGGTTTCCTAATTCTAGACCCACAGGCTGGGAATATCCTAAACAGAACTGATCACAGCAGGAGACTGAATGGAGCCAAGAGGTCCCCAGCAGAGTATTTTAGTCCTGACACCATCCGCTTCCAACAATACACGACTTTCATTTGTTACGAGGGGGAGGGTGAAGCTCACTCTATAAGAAAACAGATTAAAAAAAATAAATCAAACCACAAAGGAAATGCACTACTCAGTCTCAAGTTTTAGAAATTAATTATCTGCCAATTCCTGAAATCATGATATTAGCTGGAGTTTTATCTCTGGTTTCACTCAAGTAGCAACACAGCATTTTGAACAGAAGGAATTTTGAAGTCTGCAAACTAAACAGAGATGTCCCTCCTGATTAAAAGGTGCTCTGCATTTCCAAAATGCACTGGGAGAAACGCAGTCTCAGAAGGGTTCTTGGGATGGTTTGATACTGAAACACATGTAATAAAGAATTCAACCTGCTGCTGAGAGACATTTCTCTGGCAAATTGGTTAAAAGAAATTACTGGTGATGGCGCTGATATGAGAAGCAAGAATTAAGAAATAAAGAGGCCTGGCTTTGGATGTGTTTCTACCCATGGCTGATTGCAAATACCAGTTGAGGATCTTATTGTCTGGGCTTTTCTAAAATACCTTTTTCCCTGTTGAGCTTTTATTTTCAAATCTTGGACCTCATGCTGCAGCTTCTCTGTTGACCAGGAACTTCTTAGAGGCTCTGATTCCATCCAGCTGAGTCAAAAAAAAACAGAGGCAAAAAATGAGATCACTTTCTTTGCAGTGTTTTGACCCAAACTCTATTTCCCTGGGTGAAAGCAAATTTCAGGGGTAAAAAAAACCCCCAGAAATACAAACCCCAATGGTCTGCATTTCCCAGAAAGACTCAAATAATAGGAATGATTCAACTTTGCTGTTTCATTGCATTCCTGACCCCTGCTGTTCTCTGTCTTCCAGACACCAACAAGATCTTAACCAGGATTCTGGGAAACACAAGAGACCTGCGGCCTCTGATCACATGAAAGGAATAGAGCAGGGAAAAGAAAAGAGGGGGAAAGCAAGCTAGAATAAAGCAGATAACAACAACAAAAAAAAAACAACAACAAAAAAAGCAAGCTACAGACATGATAAGATTTTTAGGTGGCCCTGAGAATTTTGCTCATCCCCAAGACATTGGTGTTTATTCGAATAAGGATCTTCCTGCTCTGTCATGTGAGCACAATTTTGCTTCCTTCCCTTTTCCTGGCTCCATTCTCTATTTCTCTTTTCCCTTCCACTGCTCTTTAATAGCAAAAATGAGGCCTCCTGCTTTGCAGAGGGCCTACTGAGCCATGCAGGCTACTGCAGTGGATGCTGCCCAGCCAGCTTTGCCAAGCAGCCTTTGGACTGTGACTCGTTTTTCCCCAAATCACTGCTTTTCCCGGCAGTCCAGCCAGTGCCTCCCACACTCCTGCCTGTGCACAAGTGCAGGTCCCTGTCTGGCACAGCCATTCATCTTCTGAAGGACATGAAGGATGCCTCACTGACACCTGTTTTTCTTTTCTCACCTCCCCATCCCTCATTCCAGCCATCCAAACTGAACTCTCAGGTAATTAAAAGAAAGCAGATATGAGAGGTACGGGGTTTTTTTGGTTTTGTTTTCCAGACTCTCCCTTATCTCTGAACAATTTACCCAGGAGTTGGTTTCTCAATCCCTTTTTTATTCCTGGTGACTTGCTCTGTGCTGGGGATGCAGCACTGACCTCCAGCAGCAGAACTTGCAACTTTCACTTTGCTCCAGCGCTGTCCCTAAGTGCTTTACAACTCACTGAAAACCCATTAATTCTGTCTGTGCCCTATCTGTGCCAGATTAAAACTTCTATTCAAGTAACATTTCAAATATCAGCTGCTTTGCCTTAATATCTTTCTTCAATAACATTTCTCCCAGCTCCACACTCACACTCCGCTCCCCTGGGTGCTTCCCTTTTCTGCTGATTCTTTAACAGCACACACTCTCCACTCCCTTTTTCTGCTGATGATCTCCACTGCATCTTGCTCTCTTCTACACCATCTCCTTTTTCTCTTGCCCTTATTCTGTCCCTCTTCTATGAGGAGAAGCAGCAGCAGCTCTTTTCTACATTTCCCAGTCCCAAATTTCAGCCCCAGTAGGGACTTGCTGTTACCAGAGACTTCCCACTTGGGAAAGAACTTACCCAGTTGCTTGTTCATAGAAACAGCAGCCACAGAATTTGCTGGGCCATGGATGTAGAAGCACAAAAATCTTTGTGAGTAACCCTGAGGACCCATCCCAGTGACTCAACCAAGACATTCCTGTTTCCACTGGACTGAGTTCCAATCTCTTCGGGCCAGATTTTAGCTCCAGAGGATAGGGAGGCTGTGAGGTGTTTCACACCCCACCAACCTCTCTGACAGGCCTGAGCTGTGACTCCACAGCCTCTGTCACAAGGCTCTTGTGGGTGGTAGCTTGTTTTTGTATCCATCAGTGAGCCCCAGAAGTTATGGATGCAGCATGGAGACCATGACTCAGTAGATCCTCCCCTTCCTCAGCCAACACCTTCCAGATTTGGAACAGCAGAGCCTGGATGTAGGTTCAGTGTCAGTAGGCATGGGCTTGTGTAGGAGACAAAAAGGGGTGACAAACACTTGATGCCACTAGAAACTCTCTTCTGACATTGTCCAGAGGCAGAAATTACCCTGGAGTTTGTCATAGCTCTCCCTGCTGTGTTGACACTTGTCAAAGTGCTCTTCTAACTTGTCCACTCCCTTACTCCTTCTCCCCTCCTGTGCTGGCAGAGATCTGTGTCCCTGGGGTGCAGGAGGCTGAGGGACAGCCAGGCTTCATCCAGGGACACAGGGCAGTGAGAGGCAGCAGTGTGAGCAGGAAGAAAAGGTGATAACCCATAATAACCATCTCCAACAGAGGAAATGTGTGTGTTCACCCAGGGAAGAACAGTGGGAAATGTGTTGGGAGAAACCAAATACCACAGGGATGGAAGGGCCATGTCTGGGTGAGATTGTCCCCTCCTTGCAGGTCCCTCCCAGCAGGGCAGGGGGAGCACCCTTGGCCTCATGGCAGCAGCTGGGTGGGACAGGGACACCTCGAGCCACCCTGAGGAGCAGGTCTGGGGGATGAGCAGTGTCAGACAGGGGGGACTCTAAAGCTGCTGCTGCAGAGATCACTCTCAGCTCTCATTCTGACACAGCAGCAGCCAGAACCCCACAGGCAGACGCCACACCACACCTTTGGCTTCATTCGTGTGCTCGGGGTGCTCTCACCCCACACGGACTCAGAGCTCACCCCTTGCTGATTCCCAGCTCATGTTCCTCCAGTCAAACCACCACAGCTTCCAATCCCTGCTGATTCCACACATTTTAGGAGATGCTGCAGCCCAGCATTAACACAAAGCCATTTTTTTTTTCCTGGTTGACTAAAGCAAGGGAGTTTGGTGGGGCAGAATTGTTTTAACGTGGTCTGAAATATTCAAGAGGAAGCGACACAAATCTCTGCATATATTTCCTTCAGTGCATTTGGGGAGAGGTTGCCCACAGAGAGAAGGAATGCTCCATATGGATTTCAACCTGTGCAAGGTGGAATGGACTCATTCTGAGCATTCAAACTGAGTAGTTTGCAATACATAATTTATCAGAGGAGTTTATCTTCTATTTTTGCTCATGGTTTCCTCAGATTGTTGTGGATTTTTTTTTTTTTCCCCACAGCCCTTCATTATTCAAGCATAGCTGGGGATTTTACATATATACATATATATGTAGATGTACAGATAAAACCTCTAAGAGATTTCTCTGAGGAGGTTTTAGTTGGTCTCAGTGTTTCAGTTGCAATGGGTGAGTTGAATTGTGTGTCCCTGGTCTAATTAGTCACAATAGGAGGAAGTTGCAATAACCACTGAATAGCCATGCACATTAATATTGGAATTCACGTTCATTTGGCAAAATTCTGTGAGGTGAATGCTTATTGCTGTTATTATTGCTGTTTATTTCATAACAGCAAGAGGAGTTCCATTGTCCCTGGTCTCCTGGTGGACACCAAGGGGTGCAAGACACCTGAAGGAACTTCATTATATATTTGGAGGATGCATTAATACCAGTGTTACCATTATATTCTTCCTGTCTGATATTTTTTCCTGTACTGAATACTTAATTCTTCTTCAAGGACCAGCTTTAGCATATGTAGGGCCCTGTGTGAAATCAACACAGCATAATCACAGAGGAAAATTATATGGAGGGGATTATTGGAGGCTGGAATTATGAAAACTATATATAAAAAAACCCAGACCCATGCTGAATCCTTTCTATTTCCAGCCATTTATCTAGGCCTGGGTGAGTAGTACAAATAAAGAGCAAATTAGTTGGATTTGCACCATTACAAAGTAATCTTAAAAGAATTTATTTTACAATTTTCTAATCATTCCTTCATTCGTAGCTCAGTCCACAGCCAGATTATGCAATGTGCTTTCACGTGGGTTTGAAATTTGAAACAGGTAGAAGGATCTTTCACACTGAAACTGCTTCCAGAGGCTGGTGATGGACTAAAGTCAGGTGTTTTAGGGGGAAGGACAACACCCTTAAACCCATTTTACCTTGTCTCTCACTTCTCAGCAAATCAGGACACAGGAAAATCTTTCTCTGTGCTTCCCCTAAAGCCAAGTCCCCTGATTTAGACCATTTTTGGACCAGGGACTAAAATGCTGTCACTGTTCAAAGCAATTGCAAAACTCAGAAAAGTCAATCTCCTAATGATGTCTACATTCTTGAAAAAAAACCAAAAAAAAAAAGGAAGGGACAGCAGAAGGGCTACCTGTGATCTCCAAGAATAAAGAACCTGCAGACTGAAATGAAGCCCCCTTTAAATGAAAGCTGGAGTCCCCAGAATCTAAAGGCATCTTGCTTAATTAGGCTCTTCTGCAAAACACAGGCAAAAAATGCTATTGTGAGGCAGCTCCTTGAGTTTATTTCCTTGTTTATTTGTCTGTTTGTTTCCGAGCAGCAAAAGAAAACTTCTCCAGGGACCTGTTTGATTCCTCTCTGGACCTGTTTGATTCCTCTCTGCAGTCTGGGCTGGAATATCGATCCTGGAGAAGAGATGGGTGGTTTGTATCTGTGTGCTGGAGAAGAAATGCGAGTTTTGTGTATGCAAGCTTTGTGTATATGAGTATGTGCCAGCTCACAGGAATGCAAAATTCGTGAGAAAGGCTTGGAATTCACCTGACAACCCCAGAATTCACCTGACAGCCCCATCCCCTCCCCACAGCACCTCTTCTCCTCCTTTCTCCAAGCCCAAGCTCAGAGAAAGTCATGTATTGCCATCGCTTCAAAACCCAGCTCTAATTTTCTGGCTAATGAAAGACGTATTGACAAAAGTTGACATTAAGCGGAACTAATTACACTGTAACTGCTGAATAACTAAGAAATAACTACCCTGTAATTTATGGTGCAGCATGGACTCCGTGCAGCAGCTTTCAGAGCTGCTCTGTCTGTGCTGAGCTCGCTGGTGTGTGAGCTGCAGAACTTTTCCCCTGCCAGGAGAATCCTCAGGATGTGAAACCTCCAGCTCTGCAAACACACTTGGCCATGACCAGAGCACAAACCCAGCTCTCCAGAGCTATAGGATATGTGACTGCCCCCACTTAATTCCTGGTTTTCTTCCAAAGCCCTAATCCCATCTGGGATGCCCTTCTCTCTCACAAGGGGTCTGTGCCACCTCCTGCAGCAGCTCCCCACTGGATACCAAGGGCTGGGATATAGAAAAGGGCTGGTGCAGGGTCTGCTTTTTTACCCTCTTGTAATTGTGGCACCAAACTCATTCCTCTACTCAAATAATTTGTTGAAAGAGTCACTAACCATGAGGTGGGAACAGGGGGAGGCAAGATTCCTTGTTTTCACAAGGAGGATGGAGTGTTCCAAGGGACACCTGGAATCTCTCCCATACATCAGAGTCACACAGCCCCATCAGCATCCAGCACAGAAGATCAGTTTAAATGGGCCCTATTACATCTTTTCAAGCTCAGAATTTCTTAGAGTTCATCATTAAAATTGATGAGAAAACAGACATTTGGTGTCCAGAGAAATCTGGCAACTAAATTGTTGTTTATGTCTCAGATAGGACCAAACCAGGAAGTAAGGGGGTGAAATATTTGTCTTCAGAAGTGACTTGGGGTGATTTTATGATGGTATTTTATTCCCTAATCATCTGCTTTATGCCCAGAAAAGTCTGCTGTAGTTTTAAGGTGAGCTCAGGGGTGGGGCAGGGAGGTTTGGGCTCCTGCATGACTTGGTTCCAACCCTTTCACACCTCGATGTGCTCTGGCAGACCGGGACATTACATTATTCATTATTCCTATTATTGGATTAGCTTTTGCTTGCTTAGGCAAGAAGCTTTTTTTTTTTTTTTCTTTCTCCACCTTTTTCCCTGGTCTCCAGCAGAGATCCTTCAGTTATTTATTTGTTTTTTTTTTTCCTTTCCTTGAACTGTTTCAGTTTGGGTTTTGTTTGGTTTTTTTTCCCCCCTCTGTGCTCGGGAGCCTTTGGGGGCTGTGCTGGATGATCCAGACCCAGAAAAATAAAGGACACCAAAACCCACCAGCTTCTCCTGCTGTGAGGAGGAGACTAAAGCCAGAAAAGTTCCCATCTGTTCTTCCCAAGTGGCTGAGCTGAGACAAATGGGGCAGCTGCCATCTCTGCCTCATGGCCACACAGCCTAGAGGGACATGGGGGTTAAGGTTTTGAAATTTCAATATCTAACATTTACTCAATCCTTATCTGTGCCTTGCAGGCACCCCTTTTTTTGGTTAATAAACAATTTGTTGTTTGTTTTTTTTTGTTTTTTTTTAATGTCACCCACTGGTATTAATTTCTCTCGTTGGCAAACAGGTTTATTGAAGCCCTTCTCTTTAGAGGAAACACTTATTCCAGGGCGTTTTCTCCTCAAATTTGTCTCTAAACCGAGACAAGAAGTTATGCCACCACCTTCTGAATTGCTTCATTTTGATATTATTGAAACACAGTTTAGTACTGCAATACTGGATGGGATATGGATATGTAAGAGAATAACATTAAGATTTTAATATAGAAGTGAAAACAAGTGGGAAATGGAGCAGGAAAAAGTTGAAATAATAAAAAATTTAAAATCCATTCTGATTTCAAATTGATTCAATATTTTGCCTTTGAAATGTCATTGGAATTAGAGTACTCTAATGAAGCATTCACAATTTTACCTATTGCCTAAAGAAGAACAGCCTTTTCCCAGAGGAGAAATGTTCCATAGACCAATTTACAACTGAGTGCAAACCACAAAATTTTCAGCCTGGAAACTCTTCAGTGCAGAAGGCAGAACTTTGTGCTTTGGTGGTACAGCTCCAAGCACAGCAGGA